TATATTTAAATTAAATATATAATAATATTTATATAATTAATTTATTATGCATATTTACTTAATTCATGATACATATTTAGTTCTTACAAAATGCATATTTAGTTCATGAACTGTGCATACCTATTTTATTTGAGATCCAATCATAACAATTTATTTGTGTTATTAATCAATTTAAAATTAAAATTCGTTATATAATAAAAATCAGTAATTATTATATTTAATTTAATTGTATAAAATGTACATTTTATATAGGTGATTTATGATGCATATTTAGTTAATTTATTATGAATATTTAGGTAATTTATGATGCATATTTATTTAATACGAAATTCATACTTGTTATATTTAAATTAAATATATAATAATATTTATATAATTAATTTATTATGCATATTTACTTAATTCATGATACATATTTAGTTCTTACGAAATGCATATTTAGTTCATGAACAATGCATACCTATTTTATTTGAGATCCAATCATAACAATTTATTTGTGTTATTAATCAATTTAAAATTAAAGTTCATTATATAATAAAAATCATTAATTATTATATTTAATTTAATTGTATAAAATGTATATTTTATTGTATATTTTCGTTGCATATTTAGTTCATTCCTGATGCATATTTAATTAGTAAAATGTGCATATTTAGTACATAAACAGTGCATACATAGTTGATATTACTGGTGCATATTTAGTTCATAAGGATAACATATATAATTCATTTATGATGCATATTTAGTTCATACTAAGTGCATAGTACTGATGCATATTTACTTCATACACAATGCATGCTAAGGGTCAAAGTTCAATTTTGAAAGTCAACGCCGGAAGTCAACGGTCAACGTCGAAAGTCAACGGTCAACGCCGGAAGTCAACGGTCAACGCCAGAAGTCTACGGTCAACGCCGGAAGTCAACGGTCAACGCCGGAGTCAACGGTCAACGCCGAGTCAATGGTCAATTGTCAAAATAATATTTAAATAATTAAAATAATAAAATAAAGAAATAAGTAATAAAAATAAAGAATTATTATTTAATTGAAGAGTTAATCTTAGCCACACATAATGTACCAATCTAATGGCTAGGAATGGATCTCACATTCACACTTTAAATATGTGTACTTATTGGATCCAATCCCTATATATATATATATAACTATTTGATTGATCTCTTTTTGTTATTTGTGTTTCATTTTTAGGGCTTCATGTTTGAAGAAAAAGAAGAAGAAGAAGAAAGAAAGAGAAGAAAAAGGAAAAATCGTGAAAAGAGAAGAAAGAGGGAGAGAAGAGAGAGACTGCAAAGAAGAGAGAGAGTAAATATTGATTTATTTTTTGAATTTTAAATTTAATATATAACTAAATATTGTGGTATATATACTTATATAATAAGGTATCATATTTATCAAATTTAGTAAGTTGAAAAGTCAACTTAATTAATGCATTATCCAGAATTTTATTTAATTATTTTATTTATTTGTCTTATATCTCATAAAATCAGTTTAAGAAAAAAATCTCATAACATCTGATAAGTAAAAAAAGGACGTAAAATCTTTACTAAAATAAAAAAATACTTTATTTATTTGTCTTATTCCATATTAACATCTATTTTGTCAAAACAAATCACATAAAATCGGTGAAGTCAAAATTTGAACGTAAAGTCTATCTATACTAAAAAAAAAAGCAGATTCAAATTCCTTATCTAATTCATTCTTTTTGTTATCTAATTCCTTCTTCTTATCTAATTGTATAGAAATCTGTTCTGATTTTGTTCAATCTTCTAATTGTATTTGTATTATATCTCATAAAATCGATTTAACAAAAAAAAAAAAACCCATAACATCCGATAGGTAAAAAAAAGTACGCAAAATCTTTATTAAAATAAAAAGGCTTTATTTATTATTTAATTAATTATCTAATTGTATAGAAATTTGTTATGATTTTGTTCAAATTGATTTCTGTATGTTCAGATTTAAATTTTCTAATAAAAATATTAGCATCAATATATATCTACTCCACCCATTATAAATTACAAATCTCAAAATAAATTATTTGAATTATCTGAATTTTTGTTTTAATTTCGAAATTTGAAATGTTTGTAGAATACTAAAACTTAATCTATTTTTTTCACGTCTAATGAGATACCACTTTACCAACATGTAATTTTGACCATATAATTATTTGCAAATTAATTAAAAATATCTCGAGAATCATGATATGCCTACATGTTGAAAATTAATTTTTTTATCAAAAACATTATATTTGTATATTATCATTACTCATCTATCTATTAATATGTGTTATTATAATAAAATAGTTTTAAAAAAATTCAAAGATCAAGATAACTTAAAATTAATATGGTTAATTAGAAAAAATAAAAATAATAATTATAATAACAAGCCAACATTATTTTATATATGTCGCATCTTGTCACAATTTTTTTTTTTTTCAAATAAAAATTAATCATGTATCTGAAAATGTAGCATTAAAATATTATTTAATATTTTCGATTTTTTTAATTATATTTTCACTTTTGCAATTTGACTTTTTTATTTTCGTGTATTGTAAAACGTTTATTGAATATTGCATCTTATAGTATAATAATCCTCAAATAAATGTATCTCGTGTCTTGCACAGGTCACGTACTAAATATATCCTGTATATTTTTCTTTATTCATTTATATAATTATAATGCTGAATAAATGACCTTTAAATTGTACACAACGTGTATCGCACGGGCTCTATACTAGTTTTTTAGAATTACACATCATTCAATTTATTAATGGAATTTGTTTTATTTATGGGTTAGTTAAGTCCTTAAGCCACAAGCACAAGCAGGTTATAGAGCCCATTTCTGAAGTAGGTCGGTTCAAATGCTTCACAAAAATCAATTAATTAAAAGAATATAAAAGGTGAAGAGGTACAAAAGTTTTGGACTCTGCGCCTCTTTCGGCTGTCGAGTTTTATCTATCGTATGAGAGCAGCTGAAGAGATAAAGTTTTAGACTCTGCCTCTTTTGACTGTCGAAGTTTATCTATCAATGGCTTCATTCTTGTCCCTCAGCCGTCCGATTGATCGGAAATGGTTTGCCGGATTTTCAAATTATCCGACTGTCGGAAAATTGATGGCCGGATCTTGTTCTTCCGCCGAAATTTGCAGGAATAGGTTTAACTCATCCTTTTACCCGAAAGGCATGAGAACGTTGGCCGAGCCTATTTTGTCGCCCTCATCGATACAAAACCCATCATTCTCGTCATCATCTCCTTGTCTTATGCTGCCGCCTGCCTTCGACGTCGACGTTAGCGGCGCCGCAAGCATCAACTACAAGTTCTACAGCCTTACCGACAACAAAATCATAACCCTAAGTACCGAAAAAAGCAACAAAGAAAGAGAAGAATTAACCATGTGGTTTAGGGGATCTTCGCACGGCTGGCTAGCTTTGATGTGCCCCCGAAGCCGCGATTTGTCTCTCTACAATCCCATCTCCCGTCGCCATATACACCTCCCTTCCCTTGGCGACCTGCCCAATTACCCCCCTAACTTGCCCTGGGCAGACAAGGTCATCCTCACGTGCTCCCCTGACGAGGACGGACCGAATTGCCGGGCCGTGATGATTTATAATAACATGCGTGGGCTGGCTTTCTGCTGCCCTGGGCTCAGCAAGGAGTGGACCCGCATCGGAGATCACCACTGGTTTGATGAAGATGTGGGCTGGGCCGTCTCCAATGGCAGCTACATGGATTGTGTCTACTCCCCAAGACACGAAGCATTGTTTAGCCTCACGCAACACGGGGTGTTGGATTCTTGGGATCTTCGGGACCCTCAGTCACCGAGGGCCGTGAAGATAGGCGAGGTAGTTAGTCTTAGTCACAAGAGAGCACGTCTCGGCTACCCGAGGACAGAGGAAGAGGAGAAGAAGCTGCGGGTGATGGATGAGACAAGGGAGCATCTGGTAGTAGCGGGGCAGGATCTCCTCGTGGTGACTCAGTACGTGGTTCACTCATTTGATTTTGATGGATTGTATGTTGACAGCAGAGACCCAAATAACTTGGCCTACGAACGAGGACTTCCAGGTGTGACTATTGATTTTGATGTTCATAAATATGACCCTGAGGATATGGATGTTAAGTACGTGGAGGGTTCGTCTTTGGGTGGTTGGGCTCTTTTTGTCGGCTTACACAGCGATGCAGTAGCATTGCCAGCAGCCGATTTCCCGGAGCTCAACCCCAATTCCATTTACTTCACGGATGCACAAGAAGATTCGATCATTGAGGATTTCCCAACTGGTGGCCATGACATTGGCATTTTCAATTATGAGAACAAGACTGTGTTGCCATGCTATTTTCCATGTGATGCTAAGAACCTGAGAAAGACTTTCCCAGCGCCTATGTGGTTCTTCCCAAGTCGTGAATGATGCAATACTGATTAGTGGTTAAAAGTATAAATAAATTATGCTCTCATGTTTATGTGTTATATGGTGTCGGGTCATTCCTTTCTTATTAGTATTGGCATTTCTATTGATGTTTTATTTGAGAGTTTTATGTGTGTTTATGTTTTATTTAAGAGTTTTATGAGTGTTATGGGAGTGGCTAAACATATATATTGGATTAAAAGGTTTCTTACTGCCTTTTATTTATAAAAAAAGATATCAGCTTTCTTCTGTAGCTACCTGTGTGGCTGAAGCAGAGCAGGAACTTGGAGAAATTCTTTCCTCCTATGCCTCTGAACATTGTTGCATAGTTGTGGCTCCGGTCACTTTTCCAGGGGGAACCAAAATGAATCAGTTTCTATCAACTTCAGATAAAAAAAAAAAAGTTTGTGTTGCCGTGCCTTCAAGTGATGCATTAACATAATAGTGTTTTTTTTTTTTGGTACAGGACCTTCTGGTATCCGGATCCATAGGGGAACCGACTAATCCGGAATCGAGCCGGGTAGGACCACAAGGGCGGCAAAGCTCTCCCTCAAGAGTTTTAACACTGCTAATAGTGTTTGGGAATCGACTAATCCGGAATCGAACCGACTAATAGTGTTTTGAGATATAATTGGATAATTCCTTTAATGTCTCTTTCTTATACTTTGGACACGTTTGTTAAAGAATATTAGATATGATTACCTCACTTATCCTCCCTTAAGCTGGTGTTTGTTAGCTAAGATTACACCCCGCCCGATTCTTCTCGCACCGCGACTAAATCTTGCACAATTTTATCTTTGTAACGTCCCGTTATTTTGATAAGAAAAAATTCTGAGTTTTTTAAAATTAGAGTAAAATTTTTCAAATTTATTTATCGCTTTGAAAACAATTTAACAGGCGCTACTCAATTATCCATACATACATCATTGGCTTAGTATCATCACAAGCCGTTGGGAACTCGTTGCCCAATATCAAGTCATATACATGACATAATTCACCCAGAAAAAAAAAATAAAAAAAATACATAGACATATAATCCAAAACACAATATCGCATGCTCATCAACAATCATGTTACTCAGAACAATATCCAATATCAAGTCATGCAATACAATTCAAGTTCATAATGAGTTCGACATGATCAAACATAATAGCAATAGCAGAAGCAGATAAACAGATCATAATATAGGACACAATGATTTCACTCGCTTGTCTTGTGCCACGACCGCCAGCTCTACCTAAAAGCGGGGAAATAATGGGAGTGAGAAAACAACAAGCTCACCGATGGAATACCATGCAACATATTCAGTATAATGACTTAAAAATCATAATTGCAGCATGAATGAAAATCACCTCACCTATCTCATATCTCCCCTATGCTCATATGTACACATTCTTGCACGTGACCTAGTCCGCTCTTGTCTATGCTCATATGCACACACTCATAATAATAATAATAATAATAATAATAATAATAATAATAATAATAATAATAATAATAATAATAATAATAATAATTAATATTATTATTATTATTATTATTATTATTATTATTATTATTATTATTATTATTATTATTATTAGAGGAAATAGCTATTTTCACCCCGTTCTGAAGTCACACTAAGTTTTTCACACCACCCAATAAAAAGCTAAGTTTTTCACCCCAAAAAGTACGAAGAAATATGCGATGAAACATGCGCTAAATAGGCGACAGGTATGAGCATGGGCGAGAAAATTATGAGTTAAAGTATGCGACTGTTCTACGATGAATATTCGGAGATTCGGTGTACGATTCGGTCAATCGCGGTCCGTCGCCCATTAAATAATTATTTTTGTTAGG